GTCTTCATAAAGACCCTTTATGTAGTCATTTTTCTACTGAATACTTGTTACTTGAACTTACAGTGAATTATATGTCCAAGCTGTTTTGAATCATAGGATAGTTAAGGTCGTGTTTGAAATCCCATGTTGCATATGAAGTGACTGAAAGCCATCCGATGACCTGTTTGATATATTTTATTGGTTGTTAACTATTTCTTGTAGCTCATATGGTCAATTAAGCAAGTGTCGTCAACTAAACTCACTTGAAAAACTAGAAAAAACATGAGGCTGCCCTTTCTAGTAGGATTTCTAGCATGACTCCTATTCTTTGTGTTAAGGACTCGTATCAATGAGTTGGTTTCAGTATATTTGTAATCCCTGTTTACCTTCTCAGCTGCCTGTCTGATCCTTGGGCTTTGATTTGGTCAGGAGTAACTTCCCAATATGACCTACTCATACCATTAGAGTAACTTCCCTGTTTGACTGAGTGCGAATCAATAAATGAAGGAATTGGTTGTAGCTGTAGAACTGTAAGCTAACCTGAAACCAATCTTAGGAGTTAAGTCTATATAGACTATAACCTCAAACTTCTAAGCTTAAGGGTAATACAATAAATCATAGGAGTTTCAAGGGTATTCTGGGGTTTTAAAGGTTCTGAATTGCTTAAAGGCAAGTGAGCTGACAGTAAGGTACTAAAATATTAATTAAACTAATGAAGTTAATTGACCAATAGTGGGATTGATGATATGTTAGGCACCTTTATCAGCTGGAAATAAGTAACAACATGGACTTGATGATAAAAAGCTGAAAATGCACATGAAAATAGTAGTGGAACCTGCTGTACAGTAGGATATCCACTGCATTTTTGAATTTCAGCAGATTAAAGTAGAAGAAAACCCCATGCCTAGACAATCCTAAGTGGAAATGACAACCTTTAGGGTTTATTTTAAGCCATGGGCAGCCTGCCTATAAGAGGGAGGGGTTCTTCTTTTCTGAGGGGGTTAAAAAAGAGGATAAAAAAGAGTTGAATGAGAGGCAGAATAATCAGAAAATAGAGGGGGTTTTGGGCAGAGAGTTTTGATAACATTCAGATAAAAAGAGAAGGAGATCAGAAAAAGGGAAGGGGGCAGAATATAAAAGGGAACTAGTTGGGTTGAGAATTAGTCGAGAGAGGCTTTAAATTCAGTTTTTCTTGGTTTTAAAGTCAGGGGTCAGTCTTCAAATTCAGTTTCTAAACTGAATTTCAACTCCAGCACCTAATAAAAGAACAGAAGCATAGTTTGAAATAGGCAATCCTGTCCAGTGTTTGAAGTTTTGAAGTTGTTTGGACTCATCCGAATATTAATAGTTTTCTCCTCTGCAATCTGTGTGTTTCTGGGCCATATTTCGATTTCCTGGGCTTTGGTCGTTTGCGGTTGTTTTGTTGTTGTTATTTATTGTTTGATTTATTCTGAAATTGCAACTGGATTCTTGGCTATTTGCTACTGTTCGTTACTACTGCTGTTGTTGCTGCCATTTCTTTTGTTGCTGCTGATTTTTCTACTTTCTCCTTCTTCTCGTTGTGTTTCAACATCCAGGTACATACTCGAATTTCACACTGGTGTAGCAGTAACAATGAGTATGAAATGAAAGAAGCGAAGAATTTTTAATCGTTTGGTTTTTTTAACTATAAGTCTTATAAAATGTTAGTAGATTGTATGATTCCTTAAGGTTTTAAGTCAACGGAAAATGCATTAGGTAGTTTGTACTTAAATGAAACTTAGTTTGTTTAATACTGTGATATATAGTTTGTTTAGTAGTATACATGATATAGTTATGTAATTCATGGAATGTACAAGTAGTTAGTATATTGATAATTAGACTTCATCTCCAGTCATGTCTTGTACATATAGGGCGTGTGGCTTTTAACCTTGCCGAATGCAACGTAACTTTAATCTTTTGAGTTTTAACTTTGTCGGACTCCGTTAGGCAGTTTATAAGACCATGTTCGAACCCCATTAGTAGCAGCCTCTAATAGTTAATTCCATTAACCTAGTTTAAATAAGTTAGTTTAAATTCAACTCGAAGAATATTTAGCATGAGTTTTAGCATTTTATTAATCTTGTATGCAATTTCCTTTATTAAGTTAAAAGCATGCTCGCTCATGGAATAAGGCATGAAACAATTCCCCGCCTCATAAATAATTAATCCAATAATTAATAGGAGGCCAGAGCTGGCCAAGCATGTAATTTAATTAGCGTATATTTTCTTTCTTTCATTTTTAGAGACAAACATAATAGAAAATGTAGTCACTGTAGGTTTTTCTTTTTAAAAATAATGAGACGAGCCTCGCCAAATAAAAAAATAAAATGCAAATTGCGGGGCCCTCAATAATAGGTCATAATAAAATACTTAGAATTTGGGATGAACCGATTAGTAATTTCACTGCCCTCCCCAAAGGTAATAAGGCGTTAGACTCTTTAGGCGCGACTTAATTAAATTACATTCTTAAATTTGGGTGCGCATTTATGTGACCCAAATTCAAATCTCGACGGAATCGGAATATATTAACAACCACGGGTGCATTGATTGTGACGTGGTTCGAGATGCATTTTCACGACGTTGCAATTCTATAAAAAAAATAATAATAATAAAAGCGGCTTAAATTTAATAAAAGCACATAAGTCATAACATGTATTTAAATCAGATATTTAGCCATTATAACAATTTAAGCGAC